TTACATCCACCCTGCATCAACAGACATCCATGAAACCAAAGGCTATCAATCATTTAAACATTTTTATGGAGGTACAACTGGTTGTTTCTATGATTTACATTCTGTGATCTGGGTAGCAGGCTGGATATTGTTTATGGTATCTCTAAGTAAGGTAAGAAGAATTACTTTGTGGTATAAATTTCCTGTCATAATTTATATGGCAACAATAGCAAGGAGGAATCCTTAATCTGACTATATTCTTCTTCATCAACTGTCATGGCATATCAGTAAAATGATCTTTGCGAATTTCCACTGGGCCATGTGTCCCTAAATTTCAACATATATTACCTAAAGAAGGTTGGATTGTACAACGGCTGAAAGATTATGAATATGGCAATAAAGATGAGGACAACAATCAGAACAATGTAAATAGGGTAAATAGTTACAATAACTTATCTCAGAAATATAGACAGATCCTGAAGAAGGCTGGAGCGTACAACAACTGAAACAGTGTGAATATGGCAACAAAGATGAGGACAACAGTCCAAATGATGTAAATAGTGTAAATAGTTACAATACCTCATTTCAGAAATATAGACAGATCCTGAAGAATATTTGGAGCATACATGGGCGAAACATTGTGAATATCCAAAGATGAGGACAAAGTCCGAACAATGTAAATAATGTAAATAGTTACAAAAGATTTCATCTCAGAAATATAGACAGATCCTGAATATATGCAAAAAAGATGAATATGACAACAAAGATGAGGACAACAGTCCAAATGATGTAAATAGTGTAAATAGTTACAAAACCTCATCTCAGAAATATAGACAGATCCTGAAGAAGGCTGTATACAAACAACAACTTCGAAATATTTTGTGAATCCAAAGATGAGGACAACAGTCCAAACAATGTAAATAGTGTAAATAGATACAAAACCTCATCTCAGAAATATAGACAGATCCTGAAGAAGGCTGGAGCGTACAACAACCGAAACATTGTGAATATGCCAACAAAGATGAGGACAACAGTCCAAATGATGTAAATAGTGTAAATAGTTACAAAACCTCATCTCAGAAATATAGACAGATCCTGAAAAGGCTGGAGCATACAACACCGAAATCCTGAATATGCCAACAAAGATGAGGACAACAGTGGAACAATGTAAATAAATAAATGTAAAGTTACAATACCTCATCTCAGAAATATAGACAGATCCTGAAGATGAGCATACAACAACCGAAACATCGTGAATATGGCAACAAAGATGAGGACAACAGTCCAAATGATGTAAATAATGTAAATAGTTACAAAACCTCATCTCAGAAATATAGACAGATCCTGAAGAAGGCTGGAGCGTACAACAACTGAAACAGTGTGAATATGGCAACAAAGATGAGGACAACAGTCCAAATGATGTAAATAGTGTAAATAGTTACAATACCTCATTTCAGAAATATAGACAGATCCTGAAGAAGGCTGGAGCATACAACAACCGAAACATTGTGAATATGCCAACAAAGATGAGAACAACAATCGGAACAATGTAAATAGTGTAAATAGTTACAAAACCTCATCTCAGAAATATAGACAGATCCTGAAGAAGGCTGGAACAGTCAAACTGAAAATTGTGAATATGCCAACAAAGATGAGGACAACAGTCCAAACAATGTAAATAGTGTAAAAACAATCTCATCTCAGAAATATAGACAGATCCTGAAGATCCAGTACAACATTTCCGAAACAGCGTGAATATGGCAACAAAGATGAGGACAACAGTCCAAATGATGTAAATAATGTGAAAATTGTTATAAATACCTCATCTCAAATATAGACAGATCCTGAAGAAGGCTTTTACAACAACCACTGAAGTGTGAATATGGCAACAAAGATGAGGACAACAGTCCAAATGATGTAAATAGTGTAATTAGTTACAATACCTCATTTCAGAAATATAGACAGATCCTGAACAACAACAGAAACATTGTGAATATGCCAACAAAGAAGGAACAATAAAGAACAATAAATAGTTAAATAGTTACAAAACCTCATCTCAGAAAATAGACAGATCCTGAAGAATATGCCAATGGCTGGAAAGTCATACGCAATAAAAGAAATCAAAAGTCTGAACAATGTAAATAGTGTAAATAGTTACAAAACCTCATCTCATAAATATAGACAGATCCTGAAGATGGTCAGAGCTTACAATTACAATGGCTGAAACATCGTAAATCAGGCAATAAAGATGATATCAAAAGTCTGAATGATGTCAATAGTGCAAATTGTTACAATACCTCATCTCATAAATATAGACAGATCCTGAGGATGATCAGAGCATACAATGGCTGAAACGTCGTATATCAGCTGAAACATTGTGAATATGACAATAAAGATTATGACAGCAATCTGAACGATGTAAATAGGGTAAAAATATCCTCAGCAAAGGAATTTTATTGGTTTTTAACCAAATATATAGTTTCCAATCTGAGCCATTATCAAAATTTCTAACCAAGCATCATAATTTCTTCAGCTGGGGTGAGAACTTTAGATGGTCTCTCATAAAAGACATTTAGGAAACCTATGGGAACTGAAACCAAAGCATTTGCAGATATTTATTGCACAACTATGGATATGAATTTAGTGTAGTGGTTATTGGTGCAGAAAGTGGAATTGGCATGCTGAGTTCAAATTCCATCCGAGTATTTTGCACTCAGTCTCATGCAGATACTCTTGAGAAAGTTAGGACTCTCCATCGTCTATGGATCAAATTGCAGGTCAGTTAATGTCTCTTGAGTCTTGGTTGGCAAACAGTCTCGAAGAAAGACAACATTTAATTCAGAACTGGTTGGATATGGAGGTGGCAATTTCTACTTTATGCAAAAACCTCCAACTGCAACACCTAGTGTGGTAAGGCTATACTCCATAGGAAAGTCTAATGGTATTAAGGAGTAGGAAGGAAGTGGGGATTGCTCAACTAAAAAAGAAAGGAACATGTGGGTTAGGAAGATAATATTGGACCAATATCCAAGTGAGCCAGGCATGTTTGTTTTGAAAAATCAGCATTTAAAATACTTCTTTTTTACCTGAGATTGAACACAAATTATTGATATTTGTCAAAGCATTTATAAAATCATGATAATAATAATGGTGAGATTGACTGTTTCTATTCAAGAAACATTGATATTTGACCAAACACTTAAAGTTACTAAAATTTATAAAATCTTTCTCTTACAACAGTTTTACAGGAATATAGTCTACTCAAGTCCACTGCTATCAATGGGAGTTTCCTTCCTAACCTTTTGCTTAAGGTAGTGTGGAAAGTCAACATTTTGATTATATCATCATTTTCTCTACTACTTGCATGAGCTATCAATTTTAATTGTTGATGCTTTTAAAAGTTTTCAAGTGGTTTTTGTTATTTCATTATGTTTGTTTGTTATTCTGTAGCACCAGTCTACAAGATTGAACAATTTTTAATTATTGATCTGAGAAAACAGAATTCAGAAGAAATAGTTTTCTAAAGAAAAGTTTAAATATTGACATAAAAAAGAGAATATCTGAAAGTAAATCTTTGTAAATAACCTGAAAAAAACTTTTGTAAATAATGTGTCAAAACAAAGAAGATATAAAAATGGTGAGATTCACTTAATTGGTAATCATGATCAGAGAGAGAGCCATTGGGTAGACATGCTGGATTGGTGGTATGGAAAATGAAATAAGTGCTAAATAAGCAGGTATTTTTAAATGGAATTGATAAAATTCTCAATAACAACAATAATAGTAATAAGAAGAACAGAACAAAATAATACAAAACAATGTCAGACAAATCAAGGCAACTATAAGACAGTAAAAAGAATCAGTGTTTATATACAAAAGGGATACAGTCAAGTGGTTATAGCCTTCTGAGTTCAAGGCAAGAAAAAAAGAAATATGTAGGTAAGACCAAGAATTGTTCATTTTCATTGGCTAAGAAGAAATCCCAGCATGCATCTGTAGGATTCGTATATAAATTTGAGGAGGGGGTGTTTTTAGCACTTGTTCCACCAAATTGGAGCCAACAAAAAGTAAGCCAAGTTTAAATACCAACTGATATTGCTTATGACTGATTTGCATTAATGCTCTTGAAAAAAGCATGAATCCATCTCTCCCTGTTTTCTGTTTCTTTACCGTTGTTGAAAATGTCTTGTCACTGCTATACCATAATTTTTGACAGTGAAAAGAAGAGGTGGGTTAGTATACGAATAAAACTCTCTCTTGTATTTCTACCATGACATGTCAATAGCAACGAAGCTGTTACATCCATTTTCAACCTTAACTATTACTTCTCAGTTATAGATAGTCAGAAGAGAAAATTTGATGATTCATAAACCAACTTTGAGTTGAGGAATATCCGCTTGACTTTCAAGTCTCAATGGAATTCAAAATAGTTATGAAAAGAACTGTTATCTCAACACCTCGTGTAAGACTATCTAATCTACTCTGATCGCATCTGCTTTTAACCTTTAACTGATACTCAGAGCTGCCAATAAATAAGATAAAGCAAGTTTTATGAGCATAAAAGGACTTCCTGATGATAGGGCACTTTGTGAAAATTTGATGATGATGATGATGAGTGTTACTGACCCCCAAATTAGGGATATAATCTCAAGTTTTTCAACCACACCTCCTATGAATTAAAACTTGAGTACTCTGCTTAAGTTACACTATGCCAGCCTAGGATAAGTAGAGTGAATATATAACTCTAGTTGTTGAGGTTCCTTGATAAAATTATGATATAGATATGAACAAACTTAAATAGATGAACAGGCCGAGATAGATTTATAGAAAGATATATATGAAGAGATGTAGATAGCTAGCTAGAGGGATAAGAACATAAATAGATATGACCAGACAAATATAGATAGATAACAAGTCAGATACAAATAGATAACAAGATAGATATGACCTGACAAATATAGATAGATAGGTATAAACAGATGTAGATAACTAGGTAGATAGATATGAACAGATGTAGATAGCTAGATAGATAGATATGAACAGATGTAGATAGCTAGATAGATAGATACGAATAGATGTAGATAGCTAGATAGATATGAACAGATGTAGATAGCTAGATAGATAGATACGAATAGATGTAGATAGCTAGATAGATATGAACAGATGTAGATAGCTAGATAGATAGATATAAACAGACATAGATAGATAGATATGAACAGATGTAGATAGCTAGATATGAACAGACATAGATAGCTAGATATGAACAGACGTAGATAGCTAGATATGAACAGACGTAGATAGCTAGAGAGATAGATATGAACAGACGTAGATAGCTAGATAGATAGATATGAACAGACGTAGATAGCTAGATAGATAGATATGAACAGACGTAGATAGCTAGATAGATAGATATGAACAGACATAGGTAGACAGCTAGATAGATATGAACAGACATAGGTAGACAACTAGATAGATATGAACAGACATAGGTAGACAGCTAGATAGATTTATAGGGGTATAGATAGATATGAACAGACATATATAGATAGATAGATGAACAGGCCAAGATAGATTTATAGAGAGATAGATAGATATGAAAAGACATAGATAGACTTATAGAGGGATAAATATATATGAACAGGCCAAGATGGATAGGTAAATGAACAGGCCAAAATATATTGATAGATAGATAGATATGAATAGACATAGATAGATATGAAGAGATGTAGGTAGACAGCTAGATAAGAAAAGATAAAGATTTATATGAGGATAGATGTGAACAGACATATATAGATAGATAGATGAACAGGCCAAGACAGATTTATAGAGAGATAGATAGATAGATATGAAGAGCTGTAGCTAGCTAGATAGACAGATATGAACGAGTGTAAATAGATTTATAGACAGATAGATGAACAGGCCAAGATAGATTTATAGAAAGATAGATACATATGTACAGATGTAGATAGCTAGATAAATATGAAAAAATATAGATAGCCAGAGAGGTATGAACAGATGTAGGTAGATTTATACAGGGATAAATAGATATGAACAGGCTGAGATAAATAGGAAGATAGATAGATAGGAAGATAGATGAACAGGCCAAAATATATTGATAGATAGATAGATAAATGAATGGGTGAAAATATACTGATAGATAATGAATAGACATAGATAGCTAGATAAATATGAAAAAACATAGGTAGCTAGATAGGTATGAACAGACGTAGGTAGATTTATAGAGGGATAGATAGATGTGAACAGGCCAAAATATATTGATAGATAGATGAATGGGTGAAAATATACTGATAGATAGATAGATATGAATAGACATAGACAAATAGATGGATGGGTGAAAATATATTGATAGATAGATAAGAAAAGACTTAGATAAATAGACAGATTTCAACAGACAGTGACAGATATATGCTTTGTTATATGGTAATGATGAACATTGGATAAGAGAATAAAAATATTTTGATAGGTAGAGGGAGAAAGAAACATCCATTCATAATAGATAAATGAACAGGCAGAGATAAATAGATTAGTTTCAGGTGGAAAAAAAGAAGCATCATGAGATCAATAGACACTTCTGTGTGTGTGTGTGTGTGTGTGTGTATGTGTGTATTTCTCTCACCTTTACTGACTCATTTACATTGAAAAATGATGAAGATACATTTTTGTGGTTTCCCAATAGAAAACAATGTCTTTACAATCCCAAAGAAAATTTCAACTCGGATGTATCACATTATTTGACCAAACCCTTACAGCATTTTTTTATAAATTGCTTCTCTGTAGACATATTGGTAATATGATAAGACTCTATTATATGTAATTATGTATTTTAAAATTTGGCCTTACAGAATTGATATTTATCTTGATGTCAGATCACATTTACCAATGCAGACCATTTCTATGGATTTCTTACTCCAAGTGAATTATATCTTTTTCGTTTGTCTTCTCCTCAAATGTCCATTTCTTGGATAAATTTTTTTGCTTTTTGTTTTTCATCTCATATTGCATGTTCTCTGGGTTAGCTTAATAGTTAAATACTTTAAAATATCATGATAGCAACTGTTGAATGCCGTTTTTATTTTTGTCTATTTGCATGTGTATATTACTATCTACATGTGTCTGTGTATAAGTGTACTTTTTTCTTTCAATCAGTATCACCCAAAGCAAGGCAGTACAGCTACTAACAAGTGAGGAGTTACAGGGTGTGGAGGAATTAGGAACAGAAACATTAGTAATGAGTAGAAAGAGAAAAGAGCAAATCAAGAAGACAGAAGATAGAAATTGACACTGCATTTTAATTTTTGCAGATTAAAGTTAGCTGGCAAGCCTGGAGCCTGGAAGTGAGTGCCATAGATGGGAAATACGAAAAAAGAAACTGTTAGCATAGAACTTATGGTTTCATCGAGAAAGCTCAACTGTAAATTGATGAGATTTCACTGCCAGTCTAGTATTGTGCTTAAATTCATAAAAGTCTAGGTACCACAGTGAATAGCTCATCCGAAAAATTAAATGGCACAGAGATGCTTTACACAAATATATATATATATATATATAGTTTATGCAAATTTAGGTAATCCGTATGGGTAGACCTGAGGAGGATGATATCCAGAGAGCTCAATGTAAAATTCAGAGCAGATATGTTTGAATAAAAGACAGACCATGTTAAGATTCCATGTAATAAGCTATTTCACCATAACCCCTTTAACAGGGTTATGGATCATCAGACTTACTTCCAAAGTCTGATGATCCAGAACCCTGTTAAAGTGGTTATGGTGAAATAGCTATTACATGGAATCTTAACGTGGTCTGTCTTTTATTCAAACAACATATATATATATATATATATATATATATATGTATGTATGTATGTATGTATGTATGTTTACTTTTGTGCATGTTTATATATATGCATGTTAGTGTGTGTTTTTGTGTGCATGTATGTTCCTATATATATATATCTGCATGTGTATTGTGTTAAAGTATACATATCAGTGTGAATGTGCATATAAACCGACAGTGAGAAACAAGGGTGAGAGGGAAAGCTCTCTTTTAAATTTTATTCCTCACCTTAAGGCCTTTCCTGTTCTTCTTTCTTCTGTTACCCCTCTTTCTAGACGTTCTCTCTCACCCTTGTTTCTAACTCCTACACTTTCACTGAAATTTTTTGTTTTTTTTTATATCTGGAGATATATTTTCTGTTTTCTTTTTGAATTTTTAGGGCTGATGAACTGGATCATGATTCCAATGTAATAAATTACAACCATAGAATATTAGTGTTTGAGCCTTATATATATATATATATATATATATATATATATATCCACAGACAGTCTGTTTTGCTGTATCACAGCTCATCAGTGTGGCTAGACATCTGACTGCCTGAAGCCAGGATCAAAACTCGACCAATTTGGCATCAGTCAGAGACTCTATCCCTAAGCTATCGGTGCAAGGGAGAGAAAAGGAATCTTTTAATGTATTATATACATGATATGTATATAGATGCTAGACCAGCAGACAGAGCACTCAATTCTGGTGAAGAGCAATGCATTAAGCAGGAGCACCAACTGTTAAAAATTCCTTTTCTTGCTCTCTCTCTCTCTCTCTCTCTCTATATATATATATATATATATAATTGTGTATATGGTCAGCAATCTCTTTTCTACACATGTTTCATTAAAAATGACTGGCAAGGTACTTGAATTAAGCTTTTTATTTGATTTTTCTTGTGTTCATATAAGTGATTTCTTTTCTGGACATAAAAAAAAATCTTCAAATGTTCTATATATTCAAGTGCTTTTGACTATTCTATTAGGCATTATTGAGGATGGTTCATATTTTTTTAATTTTAACCATATGTGTAGATTTTTTATATGTTTCTTTAGCGATGGGAATGTTTTTATCATTTTTTTCATGTTTTATTTTATACAGCATGTATTACTTCTTTTGACTTGTGTATGTGAACAACCTTAATAAAAAAAAAAAAAAAGTGTTCCCTAGTAGGGTTCAAACCTGTGTTCTCCTTTGTAGGTGAAACCACCATCTGATCAAGCATGCTTTAGACTGCTTGGCCACAAAGTGCTACAGCCCAGCAAGTTTCTATTTTCTCTTTTAAGGAATACACACTTCCTTGTTCAGATTTTTCCTGAAAGTCCATATCAGAAATGTAAACAAAGCAATTTTGAAAGAATTAATGGATTTAGTTTTAATCCAACACATATATCATTGTTTTTGTTTTTTCATTACTTGATGCCTGGAGCACCTATTTTTTTCTCAAGGGTACAGTCCAAGCCAATGTTATACACTCTGTATAAAATAAAAACATGACATCTATTTCAAACATGGGTGTCCATTATATAAAAAAAAAGGTTGAAATATATATGCATATATGTACTTTGACATTATATTCATTCTGCAACAATAAAGACCACTTTTTGTAAAAATATTACTTTTCAACATTTAAAAAAAAAAAGAGCTGAAATGTTAAATTTTTTGTGGTGACTCAATATTATTGCATGACCTTATTTCCTGCATCACTTTGCTTAAGATGCTCTATCATCCATTGTACTGCATTAACTACAATGCAGTAATTTGTTTTCTGGCTCACAAAGATCACAAAATATACTGAGTAAAGCCCACTGCTAATCACTCTTAATTTGGGGACAAAATTAACAAAAGTAATTAATTTAACCAAGGTAACCCAAAATTTTGTATGTCAGTGTGAGCATTAAATTCACATCGACTGGGTGAGTATGCTCGTCATGTTTCACTCATGATATTATTTTTTCACCCCAGGTGCTAAGCACTTCTCTGTGATTTAGAGCACTTCTCAAACTAAAATTGATATTGAAATACCTTAAACAAGATGAGGAATTGTTTTTCTGTTGTATTGTTGTTTTTTTTTAAAATAAAAAGGATACTTTCATAAGGGTATAAAGTCTTAAGAGGGGTAATTTGAAGATGACAAGGGGTGTAATTGCCCCAGGTAGGTTAGTGTTCCTTAATATTAAATGGCTGGATCTTTTCAGGACAAACCTAGCACACGCACACACACACACTGGCCACACATAAATTTTAAAGAAATAAATTCAGTAAAACATTATAGATGAAGCTTAATTAATTTTACGCCAATTGCCTTATAAAAACAACAATTCCAATTTGAATCTCCCACATTGAAGAATCAACAAATCCTTTTAATTAAATCTGTCAACTTTTAGTTCCTCTAAAATTTTCCAGTTACATTTTGTTGTTCTCTATTTATATAAAATCTATAAATTAAATTACTTTAATTTAAAAAGAATTCAGAAGAAATTGGGCCAAAATTTTAGAAACTGAATTCATTTTTTTCTTTGCTGATCTAACTTTCTACTTTGGATGTTAAGTATGAGCATCTTGTAAAAATTAAAATGTCATAATACCTACATTTTGCAGTATTTTTTGTTTCTGCATTTTTATATATATATATATATTTTATATATATATATATATATATATATACATTAACATATATATATATATATAAGGTTTACACAAATTAATACACACACACACACACATATATATATATATATATATAACAAAAACAGAAGATCACAGCTAACACACACACACACATATATATATATATATATATATATATATATATAAAAAATGACAGAGATACAGCTATATACACACACACACATATATATATATATATATATATAATATATATATATATACACACACACACATACACATATATATATATATATATATATTACATCATACAGATCATATATTACACACACACACACATATATATATATATATATATATATATATATATATATATATATATATATATATATATACTATTGTGTATTTGGGCAGCAATCACTCTTTTATACAAGTTTCATTAAAATTGACTGACAAGGTACTGCGGTTAAATCTTTAATTTAATTTTTCTTGTGTTCTTATGATTTTCTTCTTTTTTGAACATAAATTATGGAGAAATTGTCTGAATGTCTTGTATCTATGAATTCTTTCAGCTATACTTTTAGCCATTATCAAGGATGATTTTATTTTTTTACTTTTAACTGAATATATAGATTGTTTTATGTATGTATCTAGAGTTGTAAGAATGTTTTATTTTTCAAACATGGTCATTACATTGTGGCCGTGTTCATAGTTGATGTTATTGAGTATCAGCTTTTCCTTTTTTATTAATAATGCTTCCATTATTTTTAGCGTTTTTTTTATATGTAGATGAGGTTATTATACTTGTATTTTCTGAGAGTATATTGCAGATGGACTTTGGTAGGGTGTCTGTGATTATTGAAATGAGACCTAATTGACCTATGGCCAGAGAGATGTAATGTTAGTCTTCTTCTT